AAGAAGGAACGTGATCCCGGGGGCTTCGTAATCAAAATAGCCCTCGGGAATGGGAAAGAAGCTTCGAGGATGCTTGACCTCGGAGCCGGAATCAACCTTATGCCATGCTCAATCTTTCAGCGGCTCGGTCTCGGGGACTTGAGACCAACTCGTATGTGCCTCCAACTTGCCGACCGGTCTATTCCATATCCCAAGGGGGTGGTGGAAGATGTGCTTGTACATGTGGGGGAGCTTATTGTTCCCGTAGACTTTGTCATTCTAGATGTGGGAGATGTGCACGAGAACGGGAAGGACAACACCATCCTTCTCAGGCGACCATTCATGGCCACCACCAACACTCTCATCGACGTGAAGAACGGAACCCTCAAGATGAAGGTTTTGAGCGAGTCTGTGTCTATCTCCGTCCGGGAAGCCACATCCTCATCTTCGGTGGATTTTGTTGAGGAGTGCACATTTGTTGATGTGACCGACCATTTTATTGAAGCAGTGGCCATACAGGAGTTTGAAGAAAGGAACTTACCCGACCTCGATGATGACAACGAGCCGACCATTGACCTATGTGAAACCAACCAGCCCACCCCACGAACCATTCCCACATTCGAGCTCAAAGAACTGCCCGTCACCTCAAGTACGTGTTCCTCGATGACAAGGAGCAAAAGCCGGTGATCATTTCCTCCGAACTCACCCGGGAGGAAGAGAGCAAGTTACTTGAAGTGCTTCGGAAGAACCATAAAGCCATTGGAGCCTTGGAGACCTCAAAGGCATAAGTCCCTCCACATGTATGCATCGTATCGTCTTAGAAGAAGGTGCCAAACCCTTTCGAGATAGCCAACGGCAGCTTAACCGGAACATGATGGAGGTTGTGAAGACAGAGGTCCTCAAGCTCTACTCGGAGGGGCTTATTTTTCCAGTTGCCGATAGTGAGTGGGTTAGTCCCATTCATGTGGTGCCGAATAAAGGGGGCATCACCGTTATCGTGAACGAGAAGAAGGAGATGGTCCCTACCCGCATCACTACTGTGTGGAGGATGTGTATCGACTACCGGCGACTCAATGCCGTGACAAAGAAGGACCATTTCCCGCTGCCATTCATCGATCAAATTCTCGACCGTCTCTCCGGCCACCAATTCTATTGCTTCCTAGATGGACTTTTCGGTTACTACCAGCTAGCCATAGCACCCGAGGACCAACCGAAGACCACCTTCACATGCCCATTCGGCACATTTGCTTTCAGGCGGATGCTCTTTGGCTTATGCAATGCACCAGGAACTTTTCAGAGGTGCATGTTCTCCATCTTTTCCGGCATGCTCGAGGATTGCCTTCAGGTATTTATGGATGACTTTTCTATCTTTGGTGATTCATTTTCTCACTGTCTCCATAACGTATCTCATATCCTTGAACGTTTCATTGAATCAAATTTAACTTTGAGCTGAGACAAGAGTCACTTTATGGTTAAGAGTGGAATTGTACTAGGCCATTTGGTGTCTAGTAGGGGGATTGAAGTTGATAAAGCAAAAGTTGATGTTATTGAAAAACTTCCCCCTCCGGTGAATGTGAAAGGCGTTAGGAGTTTTTTTGGGCATGCTGGTTTCTATAGGAGATTTATAAAAGATTTTTCAAAAATTAGCCAGCCGTTGTGTCACTTGCTTAGTCAAGATGTGCCTTTTAATTTTGATAATGCTTGTTTGAGTGCTTTCAATGACTTGAAAAATAAGCTTGTGACTGCTCCTATTGTGATTGCTCCTGACTGGTCTTTGTCTTTTGAGATTATGTGTGATGCATCAAATCTTGCCGTGGGAGCCGTTTTGGGTCAACGAGTCAATAAATTACTTCGAGTGATTAATTATGCTAGTTTGACCCTTAATGGAGCCCAACTAAATTATACGACCACCGAAAAAGAACTTCTAGCTGTGTTTTTCTCTCTTGAACAATTTAGATCCTACATTTTAGGGTCTAAAGTGATAATACATTCAGACCATGCAACCTTAAAGTATCTTTTGAATAAAACTCAATCAAAGCCGAGGCTTATTCGGTGGATTTTATTGTTGCAAGAGTTTGATGTTGATATTCGGGATAGAAAGGGTCCGAAAATGTTGTAGCTGATCACTTGTCCCGCATTATACCGGCTGATCATTCTCATTCCTTGCTTGAGCAAAATGTTATTAATGATGATTTTCCATACGAGCATGCGAATGAAGTGACTTCTAACCCTTGGTATGCGGATATTGTGAATTATTTGTCTTGTGGTATTGTGTAGCCTAACCTCTCTCCCCAAGAGAAGAAACGTTTTGTTTTAAATTGCAGGAGCTACTTCTGGGACGAGCCCTTTCTGTTTAAGATCGGAAAAGATGAATTACTTAGGAGATGTGTGCCCGATGACGAGCAACTGGGAGTCCTGACCTTCTGCCATGAGCTTCAGTTTGGGGGACATTTTAGTGGTCGAAAGACCGCTTTCAAAGTTCTCCAGTCAGGTCTATTCTGGCCGACTTTGTTTAAAGACGCTCATGTTTTTTGCAAATCTTGTGACCGATGCCAACGAATTGGGAACATTGGTTCCAAAAATGAGATGCCCCTTGTGAACAACCTTCAGGTTGAAATCTTTGATGTTTGGGGCATTGATTTTATGGGACCATTTTTCAAATCTTGTGGTTTTGAATATATATTACTTGCTATAGATTACGTGTCCAAATGGGTTGAGGCGATTCCCACAAGGACATGTGATGCTAATGTGGTCATCAAGTTTTTGCGACGACATATTCTAAGCAGGTTCGGATCGCGGGCTATTGTGAGTGATGGTGGGAGGAATTTTTGCAACCGTATTTTCGAGAAGCTGATGAAGCAGTATGGCATTTCACACAAGGTGGCTACCCCATACCATCCACAGACGTCGGGTCAGGCTGAGACGAGCAACCGACAAATCAAGACTATTTTGGAGAAAACAGTGAACTCGTCCCGGAAGGATTGGTCAAGTCGACTTGACGATGCGTTATGGGCCCAAAAGACAGCGTACAAAGGAGTTTTGGGGATGAGCCCGTTCCGGCTCGTCTACGAAAAAGCGTGCCACCTCCCGGTTGAGATCGAGCACAAAGCGTTTTGGGCAATAAAGAAGATGAACTTTGATCTTGATACCGCCGGAAGAGAGTGAATTTTGCAGCTCTCGGAACTCGAAGAATTGAAGAACGAGGGGACAAGGTCAAATGACTCCATGACACTCGAATTGTCCGGAAGGAGCTGGTACCGGGCATGCAAGTGCTCCTCTTTAATTCCCGACTTTGTCTATTTCCGGGAAAACTTAAGTCTCGGTGGAGTGGCCCGTTTCTTGTTGATGAAGTATTGTCTTTCGTGGCTGTCCAACTTCGGAACCCATCTAACGGTGAATTATTTGTCGTGAACGGACAAAGGATCAAGCCGTATTTTGGAGGAGAAATCGTTACGAAGCACGTCGAGACCGTCAATCTCGGCGACCCACAGTAAACTTGATCGCGCGAGTGCCGAGCTCACGGCAATAAAATCGAGCACCTTTGTATATATTTTATTTTTATATCCATAAAAAAAAAAAATTGAAAAATGTTCGTCGCGGGCCGACGAGAGTCGTCGCGCGTCGCGAAACAGGTCGCGAGGATCCATCGATTTTTCTGCCCTTTGAAGTCGCGGCCGCGAAGAAGGTCGCAGCCACGGAGGTTTTGTTCTCCGCGGGCAGCGAGATTGGTCGCGTGCCGCGACTTCGCAAAATTTTCTGGTCTTTTATGTCGCGGCCGCAAACCTCCCGATTAAAGCAGCAATTGAGGAAGGAACATTGTCATTTTTTCTGACCTTCTTTCTTCTCTTAACCACCGGTGATTTTTGTTCCTCCCAACGGACCTCATACATCTAAATTCACTTCAACTCCTTGCCAAATTTCAAAGAATCCATCATCCACGCCTCCTCACCGGACCTATACGCGCCTTTCCACCACAATTGGGGCTCAAACTCGGGAAACCCTCGGTCATCTCCTCCGACAAGAGCACTTACCGGCGTCAAATTATCTGGCCATCTTCGCCGTTGTGATCTCATACACCGAGCAGCAACACCGACCACGTCCTACCACCTCATCTCATATGAGTTTCGAGTCCATTACTTCGCAAAACCTAGTCGACGACCCTCTTACGGTAACCGCACTTCTAGTTATCACTTCAAAAAAATTACATGGTATAGTTGTTGCTTCCTACATTGCTGCGATTGGGTTGAGATATTTTGGGAGACACCATTGTTTTCTACCTCTAAGCTCTATCATCAAAATTACCGCCCCCAAGGTGTTTGATAAATTGCCCAAACGATTGTGCCATGGGTAAGAAGTCGGGACGTCAATCGAATGCCGATCAAGCCAGACCCTCCAATCCCGGGAAACGAAAATTGGCCCAATCCTCGGGCCAAGGGAACCACGACGCCCCTCAAGGAAGTGACCGGGTAGACCTTCGGCAACAATATGGTGCCTCTTTCCCAATTTACTCGAGGAAAGAGGGCGAAATATTTTCCCGTCTTTCACAAAAGGAGTTAGTAAGGCCGAAGGCAATTGATTGGGACTTGTTGAGGAGCTTGGGAATCATTGCCGACGTTAAGAAGTACCTAGGGGTGCTTAATCTCCTCAACTACGCCCAGATCGAGGAAAAGTCGTATCGGAGCCTTATGCTCGAGTTTTTTAGCTCGTTTGTACTCGCTGATGGTAACGAGTACTTCACTTGCCGGATGTGGGGGAAAGATGTGAAAAAAGTGGATAACGATGTGATAAAGAAAGTCTTCGGGTTCAACCTAGTAGGCAAACGAAGCAAACCGGCGGGCTTCAACGCCAAGAATAGTTGGACATAACTTTCTTTACTTACTACGTGGGACTCCCGTGGCCCTCCGAACGGGCTCATTAAAGACTTAGCCACAGCTATTGTGCACAGGTTCATCGCATATAATATCACAAGGAAAAAGGAGGAAAATAAGGTGAGTGAAACCGAGCTTTACCTTTTATAGGCGATGCGTGCGGGAGTAAAGGTGTGCTCGATGACCTTTTTGCAAAACTCCTTGCAAGAGGTGGCACTCGGTAAACGTGGCATTCCGGCTCTTGGGCATGTTGTGACGCCATTGGTCAAACACTTCGGAATCCCTGATCAACCTGTCTTTATCGACGCGACATGGTCATTGGAAGGCGAGCCAATGCGGTGTATTAATGAACATGAGCTCCGGAACGCCGACCTCATTCAAAATCGAACCACCCCATGGGAGTACACAAAGCGCAAGCCCTACGATACTTATTTCAAGAAGCTCAATGAAGGTGAGGCACCTACCACTGATCAGGCCGGGACATCTCGACAACCGGTTGACGATAACGAGCACGACCCAATGAATACGGATGAAGACCATTTTTTCCTACCACCACCCGATCCGGAACCAGCTGAGCACCATCAAACCGAGATCCCAGCACAACAACCGCTGGAATTGTGGGCGACTTACCAAAACCAATGGACCTCATTCCAAACCCAATACATCGCCGACATCTGAGCCATTCATACCCGCTTTGATGCCCAGGACAATAGGTGGGCTAACCTCGAGAGCCGACAGACCACTCAGTGGGCCAATTGGGAGACACAGCAGACATCCCAGTGGACTCATTGGGAAACACAGCAGACGAACAAGTGGAATACCTGGGAGAGCCAGCAGCAGACCCAGTGGATTGACATGGGTTCCCGTTTCGACGGCTTCACTGACGGTCTCCAGTCCATTCGCGAACGCCAGGATCGGCAAGACGCTCGCATGGACCGTTGGGACCAGCGATTCACTCAGTGGGACACCTATTGGGGTTTGGGATCGAGCAACCCCTACCCTCCACAACCGCCACCATCGGATGCACAGTGATTTCTCACTGTGCCTTGTACGTTCTTCTTTCCATTCTCTTTACTTTTGTACAGTTTGTTTTATTTTCGAGTCGATTGATTGCGTGGTTTAACCTTTTTGCACTGCGGATAGACAATGGGGACATTGTCTAATTCTAAGTGTGGGGGAGGGGGGGGTTGCGTGTTTACGTGGCTATGAGGTTAATCAGGTTTAGTTTTTAGAATTGTTCTTGTTTATTTTCTTTTTAGGATTATGTGTTGTGTCTTTTTGAGTTTAGATTGTGGTGAATTGTGGGAGTAGTCAATAACGGTTAATTGTGTAATATCCCGCTCTTTTGTTAATAAAAGTAATATTCTTAGTTCCGAGTTTGAAATACTTTTACTTTTATTAATATTGCTCGTTTTAAACTTCCGAGCCAAGCTAGTAAGTCATTCAGTTATAAGTTCAACTTTAAGTCGGGAATCGATTCGGTTTTAAGTTTATTCAGTAACCGAGTAAATTCCGGTGATTAATTCCAAACCGTTTATTTTTATAAATGGAGATTAATAGTCGGGATTAATTATTTTAAGTCGACGAGATAATCGAAGTCGAGAATAGTTCGATAAATCGTCGAGATTGGGTCGTAAGGAAAAAATCGAACAAGTTCGGTTCGATTAATGTCGATTTCTTTTGCAAACACTAGCCGAGTTTATATATCACTTCCTTAGAATTTTCTTAAGTTATTAATATCATTATTTTGAGTTTAAAGTATGATTAAGATGTAAGTCAAACTTGGTCCAAGAAGTTCATTCACAAAGTAGGTGCCGTGTAGGGTTGCTCTCGCGCCAGCTCTTGTCTTCCCCGCGCCACCGTTCATTATTGTGCATAAGTGAGGTTAGTCCCAATATTAATGACCTATCTTAAGGTTAGTATGGTCAAATTTCTTAGAATACCAAGAATTCTTGGAATTTTTATGAGAAATACACCTAAAACCATGACTAAGTCAACATAAGGACACTTGTTTTTACCTTAAATTTTCTTAGACCATTACTCATCTCCCACCTCGTAACCACGGCTATATGAGCTAAAAATCAGATGAAAATGAAGTCTTTTACTTCAAAGACGCAGCAAATACTTAGAAATTAGGAACAAAATCGAAAAATAGCAACCGAGTTCGTGAACGTACGAAATTGTCAAGAGAAGAAGCCCTAGCACCATCTTCTTTGATCTTTTGCTTAGTGATTTGAAGAGGTAAGAACCCAAATATTAGCTTGTTATATAGCTGAGTTATAGAGATTTAATATGTGCTAGGATAAGCTAAAAGTTCAAGTTTTCCAGTGAGCATAAATTTATAATAAGTATAAGGGCTCTTCATTCATGTACATGAAGCATAGGTCCTGTTTGAGTTCAATTCTGTGCATGCTATGATCAAACTAGTAAGTAAGTTTAACATATGTAATTCTGGTACTTGTGCTGAGTATTTTCATGAAAGAATCATGTTATTTGAATAAGTATAGCTCGAGTTACAAGTATTTGAAGTTTAATGTGGAAAGTGATTTCTTTCAGCTGCCACTTAAAATGCGAATATCTCAGTCCATAGACATTCTATTAACATGAAATTTTTATGACATATTAACATATGAGTTAAGAGTATGACTGTTCAATTTCAGCTCAAAATGATGAGAAATGAACAAGATAAAAATGTTAGACTACCAGCATGTCAAGTTGATATTAGTTGCAATAGAACTCAGTCTACACTCATTCTTTTGATGTGAAACTTTTATGAATATTTCTTGTATGAGTGATGATCAAGATGACCAATTTTCAGCTTGATATGATAAGTATGGGATTTTATAAAATTCTTTGAGTTATGTGTATAATTAGCATGATTATATGTTAAGTTTAGCACTTGAGTTGAACGAGCAAATGAAGTGCTATTGAGCTAAAATTTGAACAAGTATTTGAGTATGTTAACTATTTAACTACCAAGTTACAGAATTTTTAGAATTGTTTATGATTTTTCAAAAATCATGAAGTTTAAAGGCTCGGTTTTATTCAAATTAAGTGATTTATGTGCTAAGTTGGTGCATAGTTGAAATTTACAAGTGTATATTGTTCAAGTTAGACCGGTTCAGCTAATCCGATCCAATTAGCGAGTGAACCGGCCGGTTCGGCCGGTGGTTTGAGTCATTTTTGGGTTCGTGTGTTCGGTCCGAGTCGTATTTCAAATGTTTAGTAATTGTCGAGCCAAAATCAGTTCAGTTCAAGTTATATCAGTTAAATCCGGACTTATTATAATTTTATATCGAACCCTTAGAACGTTCCAATTAATCAGGATAAGTTAGGAATTAAAGTCAAGCATTTTAACATTTTATTGAGTATTCTGAGCATAGTACTTAGTATATTAATTGCTTATATTTTTATACAGTTAGACGAGACAGTTTTCAAGTTCAGCACTGCCATTTTCATTTTCAAAAGTACAGGTAGGAGCCCAGACTGGGTATTACATTGACTATAATATCTGATATCACGTCCAAGGTATGTATATATATTAAGTTTATCCGCTTAGGGTGGTGGCCGCTAGTTGCCATGAGTTTTTCCCCTAAGTTCTGGTGGTGGCCGCTAGTTGCCTTAATATTCTACTAGAGTGTGCACATGGTTACCGGCCGAGTTTTCAGATTGTCGGGAGATTGAGTTACAATACAATTTCAGTTTCAGTTTATATATACTGGCGATCATGATATTGTTATTATTATTGCTGTTTACTTTAGTATGGGTTTCTGCGGAGCATTTTGCACTTTCGTGCTCACGCCCCATTATTATGTTTTTTTTTTTCAGATGTTCGGGTCGGGCCTCCGGCGTGAGTTGAGCTGCTGTGGTGGTGGTCGTGGATACGACTCAACCAGCCATTTTGTGGACTTTTGTATATACTCAGTACGTATATATTTTTGCCACGCTTTACATTTCCGCTGACGTTAATTTCAGTATCAAACTTGCATGTCAGTTTTCAGATTTTTTCGGATCTCTAGACAGGTCTGGTTGAGTTACATGCTAGTTTGATTAGAATATATATAGTCTGTTTTCTTTATGTCTAAACCAGTATCTAGACCAAATTAAAGAAAAACATAATTTCAGAGTAGATAAGTTTAGTAGCATCCCGAATTAAGTTAAATGATTTCGAAAAATTTATATGTATTTTCGAAATAAAGTTGCGAAAAATTTACTCTGATACTAGTAAGTTAGCGGGGTATTACAGTTGGTATCAGAGCACGATTTCGTGTATCTGAATACTTCAGTGAGTCAGAAAGTTTTCAGAAAACCCGACCACACCACGCTCACGCCTCCCCGACTATCAGGTAAGTGCTGAAATTTATTCATAAGCAAATTTTTACTAAGTCTATGCTCAGTAGGATGTCAGATATCCATATTTCAGAACCAGTATTGATGCTCAAATCAGTAATAGAAATTCCTTTAGCAGTATTAGATTTTAATCAGAAGTGAGAAGTCTAGTTGAAATTAAGTTTATCGAGTTAATTTTAGTGACTCGTCAGGAAATTGGGCTTTATTAATAAATTAACACCTTTTCAGTTATATTATATTTTGTTTTGATCAAATTGTACGTGTGTCTGTTCAGATGGCACGTCGTTGAGACCAGGAACATCAGGAAGTACAACAGTCGATTGTAGTCGCCCAGTTTCGTGACTACAATCCTGAGAAGTTTTCTGGTCAGGGAGATCCTAGACTTGTAGATGAATGGATCCAGGGCCTCGAGATGATTTTTGAGGTCATGGATTGGTCTGAACGACTTCGTATACTCTGTGCCTAGCTTCACATGGTTGGTGATGCACGTATTTGGTGAAACTCTTACTGGGGCATGTGTCCTGGTGAGAAAGAAAATTGCACGTGGGCTCAGTTCAAGGAGATGTTACGCGAGAAATACTATCCTAATCATTATGAAGCTAAGATGGAGCGTCAGTTTCTGGCACTAAAACAGGGTGCTCGTTCAGTTGACGAGTATGAACGTGAGTTTACTCGACTCGGATCCTTCGTTACCTCTCTAGTGGATACGGAGAAGAAGAGATCGAGGCGTTTTAGTGACGGACTTCGACCAGATGTTCGCCACCATGTAGCTGGGTATGGTCTGAGATCTTATGCCGACACTGTTCCTCTTGCTCAGGAGGTTGATGCTAGTATCCGGATGGGTGCCGATCAGACCCAGATACAGCCAGCTGCTCAGCCATCTTCATTTCCATCATCACAGCCAGTGCCTATCCAACAGGCGAGAAACAAGGGCAAGAGGAAGTGGAGAGGTCCCCAGTACGATGGGAGAGACAAGCAAAGGCGAACAGGTCCAGCCAACCGACAACAATTCTCACCATGTCATACCTGTGGACGTATGCACCATGGTGAGTGTCTTGCTGGACAGAATGTCTGCTATCATTGCTAGAGACTCGGTCATTCCATTCAATACTGCCCAGACCAATTACAGTAGCAGCGGCCACAACAACAA